TGCATCCGCTTTTTTGGCGACGGCTATTGCTTTCGCTGTGCTCCCGTCCGAAGGCTTGGGGACAGGTTGTTTGGCTGGACTTGGTGGCACGGCCTTGGCAGCTTTGGGATCCAACACGGCCGGGGCTGCAGGCAAAGGACCCGGCTTCGGTTTCGGCTTTGCAGCTGGCACAGCTTTTGCAGCTGGTGCTCCTGCCGGTGCAGCAACCGGTGCGGACGCATCGGGAGATGGCACTTGTGNNTTCGCTGCTGCCGGAGGCGCAGGCTTTGGTGCGGCTGGGGCCGGGGCCGGTGCGGACGCATCAGGAGGTGGCACTTGTGGCTTTGGCTTCGCTGCTGCCGGAGACACAGGCTTTGGTGCGGCCGGTTTCGCAGCCACAGGTTTCGGTGCTGCAGGCTTTGCACTGGCTGTGGGTGGGAGTGGGGTCGGGGCCGGTGTGGACGCATCGGAAGGTGGCACTTGTGGCTTTGGTTTCGCTGCTGCCGGAGGCGCAGGCTTTGGTGCGGCTGGGGCCGGGGCCGGTGTGGACGTATCGGGAGGTGGCGCTTGTGGCTTTGGCGACGCAGGCTTTGGTGCGGCCGGTTTCGCGGCCACAGGTTTCGGTGCTGCAGGCTTTGTGCTGGCAGGGGCCGGGGCCGGTGCGGACGCATCAGGAGGTGGCACTTGTGGCTTTGGCTTCGCTGCTGCCGGAGACGCAGGCTTTGGTGCGGCCGGTTTCACTGCCACAGGTTTCGGCGCTGCAGGCTTTGCGCTGGCTGTGGATGGGAGTGGGGCCGGGGCCGGTGTGGACGCATCGGGAGGTGGCGCTTGTGGCTTTGGCTTGGCGGGTGCTACAGACTTCGCCTTGGGAGGACCTGGGGGCTTTGGATTGGCTTTTGCAGCAGCCGGCTGCATGCTAGCACGTCTCTTCGTGCGTTTGCATGTCTGTGAAGAAGCTGCTTCAAGTGGCCCATGGCACGCCAACTAACAGTCTGCACAGACTGGCTACCGATACACTAGGGCATGTTGAATCCCTCAGCTGTGCGTTTGAGTTCCAGCGGCAAGAAGGAAGGGTATAGTTACATGGGCTGTGGTGCAGATGTGTGTGCAAGTGATATCTTCCCGCATCTGAATCACGCGGCTGCGCATGTTGATCATGCAACGCAAGCGCAATCTGAGAGCAGACGTAAACAGTCGGCTTTCTCAAGATCCTGGGAGCATTTCGTCGGATCCGTGTTGCAAGTGTGAGTACAATAACTGCCGCTTGAATCCCCCTTTGGGCCCTGGACGGTCCGATACGTAACAGGCAAGGTCAGAGAGGCGGTTCCCTGCAAAGCCTGGGGCTTCCACCCATGCGCGTACGGCGGGTGCGGCATCTTTGGTTTCGGGCTTTGAGTTGTATTGAACGGGTGAGTCGTGTGTTGCTTTGCTGTGTCCATGATACTATGTCGTCCTACGCGCCAGGATGGTCTTGTGCCAGTTTTGAATCCTTCGCCTAATCAGGGCAATTGTTTCCTCGACGAAACATGTAGAGTCAATGTAAATCGTATATTCCTCTGAGGGCACCTCAATCTGACCTGGCAGCCCTCGCCATCCATGTCCATGTGAGCCATGAAACCAGCAAAGCAACTTCCAAATTGGAGATACAAGTACCACGTCCTGAGGTCCCCAGCCAAACTCAGAATGACCCATCAAATGGCCACGAATATTGGAGGAATCTGAGGCCGACGGGCATAAGACAAACGCGTTTACATGGAAGTGGTTGTTCAGGAGTGTGGGGTTGCCCCAAGCTTCGATGAACCCGATAGCCACCATGCCCGCCGAAACCTAATCCGTGAGTTTTACGATCTTGACGAGGAAGCCATCATGAATTGCCATTGCCAACACCAAAATGTGCTCGACTTCCTGCTAGCTGCTAGCCTGCAAGTACATCCCAAACCACGAGCGGGCCCCGTCGTAGGTGGGAAAGGTGGCGCCGTGAGAGAAGCTGATGATCGTGACACACCACGCGTACAGTTTAAAGGCCTTGGGTTATCGTCTTTCACACAACGGCATCATAGCCTGATTAAGCACTGCATAATCGAAACAACAAACGTCTCGGATTGAAAGAGAACGGCCGCTTGGCAGCTAGGGCATGGAGTGTACATGTAGAAGAAATATACAGCGTAGGAATGAACATGGAAAGACAAATGGAAGCACAAATGCGAGGCTGGGTGGCTGGATAAACTCGGGTAGGGTAGACATGTGCGCATGTACAAACTTTATGCATGCGTATATGCACTTGTGTATTCACACGGTACTCTCTGTGTACCTGTGATTGTTAAACACATGATGAATAAACACACATTCCCATACATTAATATGCATGGTGGAATGGAAGCAGACATAAAAATCCAGATGGGTTCCTAGAATATCCGAAACAGCAAACCAGCAAATACGCCAGTATATATCTATCTTATCTGGACCTCTCTCTCGCTCTATTGTAATATGTCTATACGAATATCTGTGTATATATATATACATGCATAAATACAAAGACAGAGAGAGAGAGAGAGAGAGAGAGAGAGAGAGTGTGAGAGAGTGAGAGAGAGAGAGAGAGAGAGAGAGATAGAGAGAGAGAGAGAGAGAGAAAGAGATAAACAAATGCGAGAGGCGAGACAAGCGAAGATGCAGCTGGAACGGGAATGTGTGCTTGCAAGACCTGAGCGGAAGGCTTTTGGCGCGTTAGGGAGCGCGGTGAGATCGTGGGCTCTGCCCACGCTACCACGCTCGATTGGATGCTGCAGCGAGAAATCGGATTTGGCCGCTGCCTAAGATGTCAAATTTCTATGTACGAAGGTACATGAATCTCATGAATGCAATAAAAGGTCTTAGTAACCTATGAATTTTATAAGTTCTCGCACTGAAACCCAGTCTAGGCAGCGCCTCCTTAGGAGGAAAGTTCCTCGCCAAAGCATCTTGAAAACCAGTGCACCACCTGCTGCCCTAAGGCAGACTGGCCGCATCTTGTTTCAGCCGAGGTGCTACGGGTGGAGTAAACTGCAAACAAAACTGCTGGGAGAAGGTGAGCAGTGGCCGGAAGGACTCATTTCCGAGTCCACAGAATTCATGACGTGAGAGCTTTGAGTCGCTGTGAGTGTTGTCTCAATTTCTGGCTCAGGCCACGCCAAGAGCTTCTCCCAACCTCAAAGCCGCCTCCAACACCCCATGCATGGCATCGGAAACCGGGCCCTGATCAACCTACACATCCCGGCATACGTCAGAATCTTACGGCAACATATCCCAAAACTCTTCGTGCTAGGCCTTGCAAGTCTCAGACATCTTCAGCTTACAAGCCCCAAGTCATGTGTCACTGGATGAAAGCTTCGGGGAGTCCTTTCAAACGCAGAGGTTGAAGAGCTGAAGGCGGACAGGGCAAGAAGAAAAAACCGGAAACATGGTAACAAACTCGGCGGGCATGGCACCTGAAGACGACGGCTGCAGCACCCAGTCTCGCGCCAGATGGATGATTGTCTTTATCGGCTATAAAGATTCTTCACACCTACTTTACTCACGGAGTCACGTCTTTGATCTGGCTGCCCGAGGGCCAAGTTACCAAACTTAATTCAGCCCCGCACAGTAAATGACAGACTCGTTTCAACTCAGCATCCAACACAACATGAACGACCTTCTGCTGCTGCTTCTTCACATGTTGACAGCGCTATTCACTCCTACTTGGCATGTGCAGGTACATACATATGTACGTGTATGTATATACATGCATAGGTGTATGCATGTATATGTGTGCATATGCACACATGTATCTATATATATATACATACATGGGTACCATGTAGATTAGGGTTGAGTGTTTTTAGAAGGCCGGTGGTGGACTGTCTGAAAACGGGACCCAATATTCCCCAATATTCTTTTTTGGAGTCTGAATATTCTTTTCAATATTCTTTATAATAACTGAAATATTCTCTAAATATTCTCAAAATTGTTTGAAATATTCTATATATTGTTTGAAATATTCTCTAAATATTCTCAAAATTGTTTGAAATATTCTTTCTATTGATTGAAATATTCTCTGAATTATTGGAAATACTCGTTATATTGGTTCAAATATTGCGAATATTGTTATGATTCTTCTGTTTTTCCCAAAAGGTATCGGTTTTGGTTTATAAAGATAGGAACTCAAGTCTCATGATTCAAGAGTGTGTTTCAAATAGTATTGAAATTGCTTTGAAAGACAATGTCAACATGAATGAAAATGATGCGGCTTCGACACTGTCCTCTCTTTTTGGCGCCTCCAGTCTCAAGTCGCTGCTCCACTTTCGGCGGTGAAACCTGTAGGCTTGAAAGTCTCAAGTGGCAGACTCAAGCTTGGGGGACCCTGGCCTGAAGCCCAAACAGTGACGACACTACACAGTTCCAAGCTTCCTCAACCCTGTAAAAACCTGTTTCAGGCACCGAGTCCTAAGCCTAAGCCTAAGCCTTCACCAAGCCTTCACTGCTACGGCGGGTTGCAAGTTGTAGGTTACAGACAAACCCGGCCAAAGGCCAAAACTTCAAGTGGATTTCTCCACCTCAAGGAGCACGTTCAAGGCGCTTAGCGCCGTCTCCACGCTTTCACTGGAAGCTGCCTGCTGCTGAGGCTTCAACCAGGCTGATGCCATGACGCTCTGGATGACGGCAAGCAGGACGGGGAACGCCATTGCATTCCCCGCCAAGTCCTGCATCAAGCTTTCCGACGGTTCGAACTCTGGATCTTTGCTCTCCCAGTAGCGCTCGACAGGAAAACCTTGAAACAACAGGGCTTCGCGGCCAAGCAGAAACCGCGGAGGCTTTAGCAACTCAACCCACAGAAGCTGACCGGGGAGCATGGTCGGTGCAAGGACCTTCCCTGCCTCCGACAACGTCCCGTGGTGCGCCCTGTTCAGGGACTGACTCAAGTTCCTGAACGCACACTGGGGCGCTGCTTTCCGCGAAAGCTTCAGCACGTCCTGCTCCCTGTCCGTGAGAAGCTTGAACCACGGGTTCGAAGCAAGCTCTGCCTCGGCCGGAAATCCTCACCGGATGCCCAAGCCCTCTGCGAACTTCATGTGCTGCTCAATCCAGCCGCTGCCGGGTTTTTTCTTTGAGCTGTTCGATTGCTGCTGCTTCTCTTGCAGGGCTTGCAAATGCTGTAAGGCTTCATCGCACTCGCTGTCCATCAAGATGTCAGCCGCAGAAGGCGCTGAGCGAAGGCACGACGTCACACACTTTCGAAAGCACTCCCAAACCGTGGCCAAAGGCCGTGCTGCAAAGTCCAACTTGGGACTCTTCATGTTCATGAAGAAGATGTACACTCGCTTGCGTCTGCACGGCAGACCGAACTCGTGCGCGTCTGTCATGACCACTTGCCCTTCGTAGGAGTTTGCCTGCATGACCTCCATGAGTATGTCGAGATTCGTCGGGGCATTCTGAGAGAGCTGGTCGTCGATGGAGTCTACGTTTTCGTACCTTGCGACATGATGTGTCGGGCTCTCACACTCAGCTCAAGGTTCTGAATGGCCCTGGGGCTGTGAAACTAACGACCCCATTGGCTGCAAGTTCTGCTAAACGGGGCTAAGCTGATGCGCGGCTATTAAGGACTAGAAACTACAAACAACGAACGACAACTCAATTTGATAACGGGAGTGCTACAAGTTTAAGTTTCGTCCCACTTCACTTGTGAACTTGTGTAGCCCGGAGAAACTGACGAAAAAACTGTCGCTAGTAAAGGCTTCGGAATAAGCATAGGGGGTAACATGACACAAGACATGAGACATACGACATAAGACATAAGACTCATAAGACATAACACCAAGACTAAGACTATGTGTCATTTAGATTACGTACACTACAACATAGCAATGCCAGTAAAAGAGCAAAACTAAAACTGACACTTAGACTTAAACTTAAACTAAACTATAAGAAAAGAGGCTTTTGAATCTTTTACTTGTAATTTGGAAGCTTTAAGAACTTTGAGGCTGGCTCTTTAAGACTTTAAGGCTTTGAGTGGCTTGGCTGCGGCAAAGGCTTAGTCTTAGCACAACCGTGCACTCACTCTTCAACCACTGATGACGACTGACAAGCTGAGTTGCACCACCAAGCTGGGCCTGTACTTCTTGACGTATGCCACGAAACCGTGAAACGTCTGGGCGGAGCCCCCTCGAGACGTTGGCTGAGCTAGGACCGGTCCGTTCGCACCCAACTGGCTGCGATCGGGCTGCTGCTTGGAAAGATCTTTGCAACTCGTACCGAGCACCAAAAGGTCTACGCTTTTCACCTCACACATGCCATCGTGAGTGGCGCATTTAGCTTCTCCGGCTTCTCCTTCAGACAACGCCAGGAGATCTTCGAAGATACACCAGCCGTCGTAGTAGTCGTCAGCGTCGGTCTCATCCGCATCGTGGCAGAAAACCTGAGAGATCCACTCACGTTTCTCGGCCTTAGACTCACACGAAAAGACGTGCTTGAACTTGACACCGAGGCCCATCTCGCTACAGGCCTTGTTGATCGCTGCCATGACGTACCAAGCCCCCTCCGACCCGCTGCAGACACTAGCCCATGTGAGTTGCAGCAGCTCCTTTCGATTCGCAACTGGGCCAAAGGCCACTGGCGCCTCTGACCCCAGCAATGTCTGAAAGCCGCGAAGGTTCTCTGCAGCCAAGATTTCCAAGAGAGAACCATCCTTGATAGGCTTTGCAGGGCAACACCGGCTGGAAGCCTCCATCATCAAGGTAGCATCTCCTGATTCGACACGCTGCAGTCGTCTCTGCTTCTTCGCATCCGGCAACATGGCCGCAAGTCGGACGCGAGGCTCGGGAAGCTCAAGCTCAAACGGGAACACCAACAGTGATAAGCTTCGAACCAAGTAATCAAGCAGCACACCGTGCACACACAGCAGACTACCGTGAAGACGCTGCGGCTCTAGGCTCTAGCAGTGGATGGCCAGCGATCTGATTTGGACTCCTGCAGGGAGTGAGACTGTGAGACGATGGCATCGGAGCCAACTCGTGTTCGTAGGCTGACAGCAAGGGCACGGTCGGTACACTGTATACTGTGACTGTTCATGCACTTAGAATCTAAATATTAAATATGAGCTGCCAACCTACATCAAGATCACGGTCATGGAAATGGAAGCATCTTCCAAAACTCCTGTACCCGAAGATGCCCAATGCAGCCTCTCACTTCTAACTGCAAAATGGAAGCGAAACTACCACTTGCTGAAATCGGTGGGAGTTTGAGTTTGAACCTTGGCCCGAGGCCGCAGCGTCACTTATCAATCGACTTCTTGGGATTCTTGGAAGCATCCTTGGGGGTCGGAGTGGCCTTGGCCTTGGCGGCCCTGGACTTGGCCTTAGCCGTAGCCCGATCAACTTTGGCAGGAAGCCCGCTGCCAGCCATGCCAAACAAAGCTGCGGCCTGGCCAGTTCCGATCTTTGGCTTCCTGGTGTCCGCAGCTGGCTTGTCCACACCCTTGTCAGCGCCCTCTGCGTCCAAATCGTCGGCCTTGCGCTTCTTGTCCTTCTTGTTCTCGGCGCCGTCCTTCTTGTCCTTCTTCTTGACGTCCTTGGAGTCCCCGGCATCTTTGTCGTCTTTCTCCTTGGCCGCCTTGGCCTTCTTCTCCTTGGTCTTTTCCTTGTCCTTGTCCTTGGTTTTTTCCTTGTCCTTGTTCTTGGATTTGGGCTCCTTGGTCGCGGGCGCGGTTTCCTTCCCAGCATCACCGGGCGCTTTAGGCTGCACAATGCTGTTGCACTCTGCAAGTATCTTGTCAGCGAAACTCTTGAGGGTATTGTGCTCCGGAAGCAGCTCGCCACAGGCTACCAGCTTGTCTACTTTGCTTTGCAGAGTGGCAGTAGTGTCGGCCAAAGTTTGCATCGTCTTCACTCCCTCTGCGGAAGTCTGCCCAAGAGACTGACTCCTGAGCAGACAGATGCATGCAACCATAGCAATATGGCAAGAAGCCACGGCCACTGCCAATTGGGCAGGCTGAACTAGGCCAGAGGTCGCAAGCTTCTCCTTGGGGAACTCCAGCTTGAGCTCAGAACTGAAAGCAAGTTCGTGAAGCTTTGGCTGCATCTGGGTTCGTTCATCCAAATTTTTCAGTTCATCAGACACTCGCTGCACCTTTCTGGCCAAAGCATTGAGAAGGGGGAGAGCTCCTTCACGATACGATGCCTCATTGTCTGTCCTTGAAAGCCGCTTGACCAATTCTTCAAGCTCCTTAGTTGCAGCCTCCAACGAGTTGCAACCTGCTTCTGGATGATGGTATCAACGAGCCCGCAGCCGATGTTGCGAAGCCACTCCCCAGATTGGTCCAAGGCAGAGGCCTTCAGTCCTTCCTTGAAGTCCTGTTGCGTCTTGGCCTCTTCGATTGCCTTCAGGAAGCTCGCACTGACAGTGGAAAGCGCTGAAGCCAAAGCTGAGTGATCAGCTTTGCTCATATCCCCCCGCTGCAGGGCAGCCACCTGCCAAATGAGTAGCACTTGCACTTGAAGCTTGAATCATTGGGTGCAACTTGGCTTGGGGTTTGGGCGGCACGTCCAACACTCAGTTAGTAGATTAAGTTGATTAAATTCAGACTGAATGATGTAGGCTTCAAATCTTTCTGCCAGGCGAACATGCAATGCGAGCCAAACCAACATCACTCATCATCAATCATCAGCAGCAATCACTCAGCGTGAACCAGCAGCAATGAGTCCATGAGCGAACATGATCCGAACATGCATCTAGCCTCCAAGAAGGAGCAACTCAATGGCCGCAAAGGATGCTGCGCCGGGATCTGCTGTAGGAGCTGCGTCAACATGTCTTGCGACAGTCCTCCTCCCATCTGTCCGTCGATGCACTGGCGCACTGTCTGGGCAAGGGACTCGAGGCCTGAAGTGAACAAACTGGTGAGGTGCGACTTACAAGGATTCAGGAACTGGCATTGGAAACGAGAGTGCAAATCTTCGCTTCCTTCAGGTAGCCATCGCTTCAGATCAGGTGGCACGCCTGTGAGCCATGCTCTCACGCTTGCGGGGCTCCGCTCGGTCCGGGGAAGATGGCTGAAGGCAGGCAACTGCCGAAACACAAAGTCGCCCAACTCGCAAAGCGAATTTGCTAGTGCCAAATAATCTTTCAGCCATGGATACACATGGTGAGGGAGGGTGCCCCAAAACGGATCCTGAGTAAAGCTAAGGCAACGGATGGTTGGCCAGACCTCGTCAAGGTTGATGAGACTCACCGGGCCATCGGCGTTGGATACTTTGCCATCAGCAGCCACTGCTTCGCAGACTAGCTTCCTGGGGGCTGCAGGGATGTCGACGGTTTGATGTTTCAAAGAACAAACGATACCAAATCAACGGACCGAGGACCTAGGACTAAGATTAAGACTAAGATTAAGACTCACGGGTTACGGCTAAAGCTTACGGTTTATTACTTCATGCTTGTACAGACTAAGCATAGGACTAGGCAACGCTATATACAGTTCAGCCAAAGTAATCAAGTGGAGGACTGCAGCTAAGCCACACCTGTTCCGACAAATTGAAACTCAAGATCCTGAACGAAACGGTCTCAATCTGCCCAAAGAACTTGCTCTCCATCTTTTCCAACTTCTCGGCAAGTCGGTCGAAGTTCTTGCTTGCTTTCTTGTTGCTTTTCAAAGCCTTGAGCTTCTGGATGCAGTTTTGCCACGCATCTCGTGTGGGCACGAAGAATCGTTCGATGGCTGCTGGGCCTACGTCTTGCGAACTGGCCATCGTCACGGACTCGAGGGCCTTGTCCAGCGCTGCCAAGCTCTCTTCAACTTCAGCCTCTTTCTGGCCTTGATGAACCCGGCCAGAGGCCGCCTCAAACATAGCCAAGCCTGTTGGATGCTGAACGAAGAATCGCTGAATCGCAGTCACGCTGGCATCTGCATCCTGCCCCAAAGCAGCCGCAGCATCCTGCAACGTCTTCACGCTCGCACCGAGCTTGGTCATGTCCACATCGGCCTGGCCCAACACCGCCGCAGCCGCAATCATGTCATCGTTCATCGATGCCGGCACGAACTGTTCAGGGCTCGGGTTCTGAGAGCAGACGCTCAGCATGGCACGGCACAGCTGGAGAGCTTCATGCGCTGGTCCATCTTCTGGGGTGGCCGCGCTCAGCCCACTGATCTTGTCAGGCTGGATTGCACACAACGTCATGAGGACCCGGTTCTCCACTTCGGCCAAGATCGCTGAGCTGAGCCCCTTATCCACCAAAGATCGGGGCAACTCCGATTCCGTGAGGAAGTGTTGCCAGAACTCCTCGTACTTGCTGTAGAGACACCGGCAAGAAGCCTTCGCGACCAAGAACTTCAGCTGGAATGCTGGGCCAAGCCCCCGCATTTCCTTGAATAGCTCACATTTCATGAAGTGTTCAGCTTCCTCGTATGCCTCCACGACCTGCTCGATGTCGGGATTCTCCAAGCCGACTTGAGCCAACAACTTCACCAATGCCTGCATGCCCGTTTCGACAATGTACAAGTGGTCCAACACAGTGGCCAGCTGATCCTTGTTCGGGGACTTCTCCATGCACTTCTGCACATCCCGAGCAGTTTTTGCCAAGGCTTGGAGCGTTTTTGATTTTCCGATGCAGTCCATCTTGAATGCCGTTCTGGACTCCTTGTCGGGACCGGGCGGCAAGCCATCGAAGTCGACCTTCTCAACTTTGCTCAGGATGTCCGCCAGCGTGTCCTTGCAAGTCTTCAAGGATCTCTGGGCCCGTCCGTCGAGCATGAGCATGCCAGGCGTTGCGAACCTCATTGCATTCACCCCAAGCCCTGAATCACCACAAAACCAACCTAAACGATGTCAGACCTAGCAACCTAGTCACTCTCTTCATTTGCAGGCCGAGTTCAAGGCTTGATTCAATTATGCAGCTAGTCTGGGGATGTCTAAGGCCGGTTTATCGCATCTACGGCTTATAGCTTACAGGCCCTATAGGCTACAGTGGCTACAGGCTTAAGTGTTAAGGCAAGACTGAGGCTCTGACGTTGTGCCTCGCATGCTACCCAACAGTGCTGCCGACACCGCTTCCACAAGACAGCTAAGCAAAAAAAACAAACAAAACAAAACACGAAAATCGCAGTCGAGGTTCGCTCCCGGGAATCCATCCGCAAACGATGTGTTCACGTCGGCAGCATCCTCCTGCTTCGGCTCCTTTGGGCCACTCGGGTTGGCCTTGCTCGGGACCTTCGTCGGCTCCTTTGGGCCACTCGGGCTGGCCTTGCTGGAGGACGACACCCTCTTTGCTTGGCCCTTGGCTTTGGCCTTGGTCTTTGCCGGCGTTTCGGTGCTTTTGCTGTTGCTGGGCTTCGGCGTGGCCTGGGCCTTCGCTTTTGCTTTTCCTTTCGCTTGAGCCGACGGCGCCCCAAAGAACGAGGCCGAAGGCCGCTCGTCTTCCGAAGAACCTTCCTCGTCACTGTTGCTGCTGTGAACGCTCTCGGCGTCACTGTTGGACCTGGAACCCTGGCCAGTGGCCGCGTCAGGAGCAGCCTTGCAGCTGCTTCCAGACCCGGCATTGATCTGGGTCAACAGATCTGCCAGGGTCAGCTCCTTGCCCTCCACAGCTTGGCTGGCCCTGGCCTTTGCTGCTGCTTGGAAAGCCTCTGTGTTCGCCTTGCGCTTGCGGTCCAATGCTTCGGAAGCAAAAGGACCATCATCGGCTTCATGCTGCACCGAAGATTCCTGGAAGGATCTATCATCATAAGACTCATAATCGAACACCCCATCCTTGCCATCGCGCACCCACATTCCTTCGTGCTCTTCGCCAAAGATCTTTTGGGTCACAACTCGGGAAGGATCCCACTCTCCATGCAACGCTGGGTCGAACCCCTTCTTCGTGACGAACTTCATCTTCGGCGCTTTGAAGCAGCCTCCGATCTTCTTCTCGCTCGACAGGGTCGTCGCCGCTTGGATGTCCGAGGATCTCATTCTAACCCTTTCCGGGTTCTCTTCCTGGGTTGACATGTTGGGGACCCGAAAAGTTTTACGAATACGCTATATAGGTATCTCTATAAGTCTATAAGTTCAAAACAAAACTTCTTGTAGCTGTATATTCTTTTTATAGAAAAAGGTAATTTGTAATTTAATAAAAAAAATATAGTTCTCTTAAGTGCCACCTGGCTTCGTGTGCCCTTAACCACTCCTTTCGCCCCCGTAAGAACGCCTTGTGTTTGTGCTGGTTCTCCTTCTTCTTCACCCAGGCGTGGTACTGCTTGTAGCTCCCATACGTCGCAGCATACCCTGCCAAGGCAGTGCTGCGACAGATCCCCGATTGGGTGGGTGGGGTGGTGGGGTGGGGTCGGGGTGGGGTGAATCATGGAGTGGGGTGGGGTGACTCATGGGGTGGGTGGTGTGGTGGGGTTGGGTGGGGTGGTGCGGGGCGGGGTGCACACAAACAAAAAAACCAACAAAAAAACATACATACAAACAAGCAAGCACACACACACACAC